TTCGAGGGAATACCTTCCCTCCGTTGGTTTTACCCCGTCTTTAGGCGGGTGAGGGGCGCTATTGAAGCCCCGGAACATGTATACTGGTGGAGAAGGCTCTGTTTGAACGGCCATCTCCACAGTAAGAATCTTTTTTGACGCCTGCGATCCGGCGGCTCTCGCATAACTGAATGTTGGTCTTGAGTAAGCAGGGCTTCGTACTAAAGCCCTTGCTTCGACATGACTGATACCTTTTCCTGCTTTTAACTTTTGAATTTCTCTTTCTTCTTTCAATACTGGGCACGCACTCGATCTGGCATGGTGCGCCCCGTCACAATTTATACACCTCGGCGGATCTTTGGCCTGGCATGGCTGTCCTTCGTGGACCGGCACACCACACGAGCACATTGTATTTTGGCTTTTACATCTGAGTGCTGTGTGGCCAAACTTTAAACATTTGAAACATCTCATTGGTGCCGGTACGAAGGGGCGGACAGGGAATCTTTGATAGATTGCCCGTACTTCTGTCGGCATCTCTGGTCTATTAAATGTCAGCACAAGTGACGCTGTATTTATCAGTCCCCTGCCCGTTTTCCGTTTGATCCGTTTTACTTCTGTCGCCCCCTGGCTTGATAATTCTTCCTTGATTTCCTCTTCACAGCATATCAGTAAATCTCGCGCTGAGATTACGCCCTGAGAGGAGTTCAGTTTTCTGTGGGGAGACGTTTTAACGGGGATTGTGCCGAGGTGTTTTGTTTCCATGACCATTTTGCCCTTCAGAGAATCAGTAACCTCTATACTCAATATTCCCGATGATAATTTCTTTATATGCTTTACATTTCCCATTTGTTTGTTTAAAACACAGCTGATCTGGATTGGGGAATCTTCTTTGAAATCCCCTTCCTTCTTTTCCATAATCCAGTATCTCGTGAAATACTGTTCTTTGTGAATTTGCATTCGCTGTCGCTTTCGCTCTTTCCTTTTCTCATTCTTTTTCTTTTTTTGGACTCCGGCTCAAATGGCTGCAGTGTCCTCACTATTTCTGTTTTTCCTTTTCCATACCCAGCAGTATCCTTGCGTTGGGTGGCGCTGCTCTCTCCACCAACACCAACGGGGCCCGAGGAAATAACGCCGAGGGTGGCCGACGTCACCGGCATTTCGCCTTCCGGATCTACGGCGTTTGATTTTAGGGTTTTCGGAGCTTCGTAATTTAGGTCGGAAGGCAGCTACCCTTCCGACCCTAGCCGATTAGTGGGGCTGCCACTAAAGGTAAACCGGCACACCTCCTTCTCGCATATAATAATAATAATAATTTCTTTACCTTTCTTTATGGAGCTATAAAACGAGAATCAAATTCCATTTTAAAATTAAGGTTTGTAGATTTGAGATAGGTTCGTTATAGGATAAAAGGATTCTTCAAATTAAAAATGATAATTAATGAAATATATTGTCATTTTATGTGAAAATAAATTGTAATTAAAGATTCAAATTTAACAAACATTTGGTGTCGTATTTACTTTGGTTTAAATGAAATATAAAAGGTGCCTGATCGATAAATGAAATAATTGTAGTCAGGTCCGATCGTAAAAAACCTCTGGGACCTTGTTTTCGGTTTTCCGAATTCAGGGTTTGGCCCAACAAAAAAGAAGAAGAGACAGCTATATCACACATATGTATATCATTTTTATCACTGCTAATTTTGTATACATCATTTGTTTGTAGCATCTCTCGATGCAGATACACATTTCGTTTCGTTTTAGAATTTTCGATGAAACTTCCGTTCGTTGTTACTTTGTGACATCCTGTCTTTATATTTTAAAAAAATGGACCAGACAATTTACATTCTTGGCAAATGCGTTTACAGTCTAAACGTGGGAGTGCCATTACAAACATATTTTTCTGGATATAAATATGGTTTGTTTTTTAAGTCTTTAAACGTTTGTAATGGGTGTTAAAAAACACAAATAAACAAAAGCTACAAAACGGTTGAGTTTACGATGGTAGAGATAAGAATGAAACATCGACTGTCATCTATTGCCCTTGCAGCAGATTTATGTCATTTTCTCTCGCATTTCGCTTTTGAAACAAAGCAATCTACCCTATAGTTCGCTATTTCCTTTTTGCTATAATTTTAAAAACAAGGGCTAATATTTTCATCGCGTATGTCATGTTTATATATAGTTTTGAGATGATGGAGATGGCTGTTTTAGTATCTGTTATCGGGATATAAAATGTTAACAATAATATTTTCAATGCTCACGTAGATGCAATATACATTCCATGTAAAAAAAAAATCGCAATTACCTGATTTTTGTATTTTATGTTTTATTAAAATACGAAAATATTAAAAGCAAAAAATCTCACAAAATATTTTTTAAATTTAGGTGCTTATAGGTTTAGCTTCCTTCTTGTCGCAAGGTGTGTAAAACTACATTTAATAAAATTAAAATTGAGCCTTAGTCATAAAAACATAAAGATCTATTTCTTTATATATTAAGAAATAGAGCAAAAAATATTTTAAAAGCCAAAATCAATTCGCCCATAATACAGCAATTTTTTTAAAATTAGTCTATCAAACCGTACCCATTATTTAGTGAAAATAACTGATATTGTTTTTTTTTTCATCACCACAAAGGCTTCATATTTTGTTGGTGAAGTGGCAAAAATTGCTTCACTTGGGGTGGTACGTGCTGCTGAACCACCATATTCAATGGAATTTATTATCCAGGTGTAACAATGGGGGGAAAATTAATGTCGGAATTTTTCAAAAGCATAACAAAAACTTCAAACAGTAGGGAGAAAGGCATAATCAAATAGTGTTAATTAAAAAGTCATTTTAACAATATATATATTAAAGTATTGATTAACTATCTCTGATATAATTAATCTCAGCTTTCAATATTAAGGATGCCTTTAATATTTATATTAATTTTAAATTTATATTAAAGGCCAATTGTATGAAATCCCTAGCCCTTTCATCAAACTTTGGAGGAATACGTCACATTTATCATATATCTGATATATTGTAGAATAGTTAGGTGACTGATCTCTGTAAATCTAATTTATAACTCCACTATGTTTGAAACTGTAGGTTTCGATATTGCAAACAGATCTCACATTATATAATAATTAATAATAGTTTCAACCTCCCGGGCATGAGGTTAAACTGCGACCATGCACCCCTCCCGTACCTGGTGGCTATCCTTAATCTCCTATTCCATCTAGTAACTGTACAACCTTACCCTTTTTTCCCGTAACCACCCTTTCCCAAAATTAATCTTTTCCTTTTCCTGTCCTACGCGTCCCAGGGTCTAGGGAGGGGGAGGTATGTCGGTCTACCTTAGTGGCAGCCCCACTGGCCGACTAGGGGTGATAGGATAGCTACCTACCACCCTGAAAACAAGCTTGCTCCTATTCAATTAAATAAGGCCGTAGACCTGGAAGGCCACAATGCCGGTAAGCCCGTGGATAGGGATCATCCACGTGCTTATTCATTGGATCCCGTCGGTGTTGGTGAGGCGAGTGGCACCACCCGACTAGAGGCAACCACAAGTAGGACTGATAACGGACTCACGAATGTTACAACTTTGCAGCCGTTTGNGAAAAACAAAACGAAGAAACACTAACCCCGCATTTAAATATTCTAGCGTGTCGGCTATGACCTTTGCCGTTCGCCGACCCAAAAAAAAAAAAAAATAGTTTCAATGTCCTGATGAAAAGAATATATTCTCAAAATCTAGACGAAAGTACTGAATAATTCCAAATTGGCTTTGTAACACAATAATTCAGCTTATATTATATCAATATAACAGTATTGATTAAACCAAAATATTTTAAAATATATTAATCTAAAATCTATTAATTGTTTTATGAATTATTCCTCTCTTAAATATTGCAGCTTAAAATTTTAAACCACCTTATAATAAGGTAATACTTGTAATGAACCTTATTAATAAGTTACAATTAATGAAGGTTTTTAGTTGAGATAAAAAAGTCAATGGTACGAGCGGGATTGGAACCCACATCTTCGGCTAGATTTAATATAAACTTTTAATTTACAAGACAATGATTAGACCTCTCTGGGCGTACGGTTGTGAAGTGTGGGGCTCAACCAAGGATTCCAATTCCCAGCGCCTCCAATCAATCCAATCTAAAATTCTCAATCAAATTATAAATGCTCCTTTTTACATTTCAAATTACACTATCTACAAAGACCTACACATCCCGTTTGTACATGAATTCATCAAAACCCGATATAAAAAATGTCATCAATCACTGAACACACACAGTAATCTATTCGTACAAAATTTATCACTTCCAACCCTACCTGAAAATCCTCCAAGACGATTGAAGCGAAAGTGGCCCCGAGACCTTCTCAACCAGTGTGAAGGAGTGTTACCACTGAGCAACTTCTCCTACAAGAGCCTCAAATGATAATTCAACAAATACGAACAGATTTACTTAATACATCACTTGTAGATGTAAATACCAAATAAATGTAATAAAAAAATTTAAAAAATAAAACTTTACAAAACAATCTATGCTATTACATACATGTCAAATGATTTTGGAAATTTGGCCATTAGCACATCAAAAATTATGTGGAGAATATCTTTTCACCCTTTGCCCAATTCTACGATGAAAAAGTGTTAATTTTCTTTAAAACAATCTGAATTTTGTTATCAACAAAACACTAAATCTTCTTGTTATGTAATTACAAATAAAAATAAAACAGCATCATTCATGGGAAATGTTAATGTTTAAAGCTTATAACAAATTAAGATTTTGTTATTATTGAGGATTAAATATTTGCACCTTCTGAGATAAAGAAACCCTTAATGGAGGAAATTCCTGAGTTTCAACTTGCTACATTAATGTTTTCCAACTTCCTGCACTAAACTGATTAAACCTATTTCCTGAAAGGGTTTACTCTCACTGTTAGCTAACTTAATTCCTTGCAATATAATTTTTCTAAATTTTTTCATAAGGTAAATTTTTCAATTTACTGTTGTTTTTTACAGCTGGTTCTGGTGCAACCAGAAGTACGGGCGTTACAGGCTATGCTGGATCATTAACTCCAAAAAACCAGCTTACATTGAACAAGGTAGTTAATGTCCAATCATTATTCATTTATGAAATCATTATTTATAAAATTTGAACATATTCCCTTTTTATTTATAGCGAAACCTACGCCCGGTGTCAGCAGAACACCTAGTAGTACGAGGACGAATAAGTGAGCAAGCATTGGATTCTGAGGAGTTTCACAGTGATCCCGGGGCCCATGGAGTTTACATGGTTGCTTCCTAGGACTTACTTCAAAGACCTTCATCAACACATATTGAAAGTGCAGTATGATACAAGAAGGATCATGAGTGGATTATGAAAGCATTTAACTTTTAAAATAAACGCACAATACAAAAATATATTAAACAGTGTTCAAGTTGGAAAGAAAATTAAATTATATTTTGGGTAATGTTAAAGATCGATGTGAATCTTTTATATAATGTTGAAAATCAAAGGACTGTACATTTTTGAATTTCTTGCATTTTTTAAACAAATTTGTTTAAAAAGAAACTAACTATATTTTGTTTAATAAGATAAAAAAAAGTGTATAAAAATTATTTTTTTGAATTTTTTGAGAAATGAAAAATTAATACTGAAAACATTAAAACTATATTTTTCAAATTTTATTGGAAATATTTATTGCTCAATGAAACTTCTAGATATCATTTATTATTAATTGTAAAATAAGTTGTAAAACTTTAACGTGTAAAAGTGAACGGTCTTCTTTGCCCTCACACAAACTGGTGTGTAATGTTAAATGTGTACAGTTAATATTTTTTATCAAATGAATCTGTTGAATGTAGTTAAAGAGAAACAAATCTATATAGTTAAGAAAAATGATTTTTTCTTTTAATCTTCCAAATATTACAAAATTTATTTCAAGAAGATTATAATTTAATATAAAATATAAAAATTGAAACGGGTACATTTTAATTTAGGTTATCTAAAAATTTTATAAATTTTTGCTACTAAGGGAGTTAAAAAGTTGGTCCTAATTCCAATATCAATGAAAATCTAACATGTTCCAATAAAATTTATTATTCATATTCACTTACAAACTTATAACATTTATTTACAAACTTACTTAGCAAATTCAAGGATAAATGTTTGTTTTTCTTCCCATCATTTTTAACATTTTACTTTTTGACTTTAACACATTAAAGAGCATAGGAATAATTGCACCTACAGATTTGAGAAATAGCTACTTTCTTTAACATGCAATTTACTATCAACAAATCAAATTTTGATTAAACAAATTTATTTATTGATAATTATTCCTAGAAGAAACAATTTGCATAATGATATGCCCAAAGTTTGAACATCATGGTTTGCTTAGATTTACTTTTCTATAAAACATATCTGTGTCCTCTCTTGCAAATGGTGAGAAGTGTTAATTAAAAAAATGAGTTTTATCCTACAAAGTTAGATTTCTACAAAAGGTTTTATTATTATCATCTAGTATAACAACAAAATCTTCACTCTCATAGAAATGATTTCCTTTTATTTGGAAACAAAGAAATAAATCCTTAGATGTGTACAGTATTTGAGAATGTATAAATTGCTATTTTTGTATGGCTTAAGATCTAAGTATGTCATAATAGTAAAATGATTTATTTTTACTATAAAAAAATATATGCATTTGTGAAAAATAAACTGTGAGATTTTTCCAATAGTGGCTGTCATCGTAAAAACAATGATAAAAAAAATACATATGCATTAAATGTAAATTTGAAAACCCGCTGTTTTAATAAATAAGAAATATATTGATGTTTGTAATATTATATTCATTGTTAAAATATAGCAACATTAATTAGTTGGAATTTTATAATAAATATTTAGCTCAAATTGAAATTTTAAAATTTTGTCAATTTTATCTGTCTCATATTCAAAATTTTATTGGTACTAATTGTAAAATTATGTAGTAAAAGGGCCTACAAGTGCAAGGGAAATATTTTTACCTATAAATGTTTACGAATTATAATCAAACGCATTGATATATTTCCCAAATGTCCAATAAAATTTCCTCTTATCCTTCAAAAGTGAAAAAAAAAGTTAATAAAGCTGTTTACAAAGAGATGTCATGTATTAATTTTCCTGGTGATAATCGTTTCATATGTAATGCCAATTTATTTTTTAATCAAACACTTAAGCTTTTAAAGTAAACCATCTAGAGCATATTGAATAGATCATATCAATTTTGAAGATAATTAATCTTAAGTCGTAGTTGTTTATTTCCAAGATTTTTTTTAAAAGAAGTGTTCTTTTGTCTAGAGATATGCCATTTAAATTTTATTAAATAATACAATGGATATTCCACACACAAAATGCTGGTTGTTCAATTTTATCTTTTTTTCTTTTTTTAATATATGTACAGAGGTTTGATCATTTCACATAAGATATTGAATGATCAATAAATCAGCTTGCAATATGAAAATGGATTTCTGATTGTTATCTTTCAATGTAATCAATTTATTCCCATCCTATACTAATTGAATTATAATCATCAAATAGAGCTGTGACAAAATAAATCTGCAATAAATAGCAAAAAATGTATTTATTGTTTGATAGTGAAAACAATAAATAATTGGGGTCTGTAAAAATTTCTTATTCCACTTCTTATTGTTTAAGACAGCAGCTCTAGAATCTTCAATCATCCAATGCTACTAATTCATATACTGTTTTATATTAATAAAATGTGAAAAAATATGCTTTGGTAGCTAATATTCTTGGTAATCCTGTTTTTTCACTGGTTTTGTTCAGCAGATTTACCCCCTTTGATTTGGAGTCCTAAGGCTTAAAAAGCTTTACAAAATGTAAATTTTCGTAAAAATATAAAACAGACATAGCAGTCGTGTATAAATGAACAAAATAAAGGTTGAATATGCATTACATATTATCTTGATATTATTGATATTAGCTTTAATAATACAGAAAACAACAAAACAGGAATAAGGTGAAGTTGAAAAAAAGAAAAATGCTCAGTTTCTTCATCAAGCTTTCTAGAAAGAAATATATCCCCTTAATCGGGTCTAAACGAGTCAAATTATAATTTGGACAGTTATCAAATGTAAACATCTACTTATAACAGTATTGCACCAATTGTCGGAGGATTTAGTAGTGTGTTTAGCTTTATAGAGTGGATGAGATCTATCAGCCTTACATTGTACATTATAATTGTAATGTTAGTTTGCATAACAATTGTACCAAGTTAATACCAAGTAATATAGAATGAAAGATTGGTATATCTTGTACTCTATTAAGCTAAATTCAAAAACTCATTATGATTGATGCCATAATTTTTAATATTGAAATTAGATGTTTATATTTAGTAATCATGTAAATGTTTCGAAGTACTAATGAGTTGGTTATATTACTTGAAAGCTTGTTTTTTTTTTCTTTCAATTTTGCCGTAACCCTTTTTTTATACACAATTTTTTTTTTTTTTACTCAATATAACATAAGCATACAAAAACATTATTTTTGTAGCAGAGTGTAAATCAATTTAAATATTGATTAATTGGTGGTTTGGCCTTTGGAATTTATACAAATAATAGAGCAAGTTCTAGACAAAATAAAACCAAAAGCGGATTAGAGTGGGAGAAAGTCTGCCTTCTAACTGATATATCTCTTTAATTCAGTCTGGAAATACACGGGCTGTTAGTCTCATTGGAGAAAGTGAAAACATTAATAATAATAATAATAATAATAATAATAATAATAATAAGTTTATTGCAGACAACAAGAAAAAAGAAAAATTACATATAATTCAAACAAGAAAATAAACTTAATACGGCAAGGTAACCGTCTGCCGGGGCTTGGATTAATTATTGACTAATCCTGTAAAATAAACGTNGGCGTTGACACTTGTTGGTGAGCAGATGATGGTGGTGAGGCGGAAGTCCTGATGTTGTTCAGAGGTGCAGTCTTAGTGAGAAGACCGTTAATGAAGCCAGAAAGATCGTGACCAACCATTTCTTTCAGCTTTACTGATCCCAAGTCCTGGTTGTAGACTAGACCAACTGAATCATCCCAGGAAAATTGAACATCATTGATGATTAATTTATCTGACCTGACTATAGATTTAATGTTGGTGTTCAATCGACGAATCTCCCAGCGAAGTTGAAATAGGCTACGCCTACACCTGCGTGTGTTAGGTGGATAATCCTGATCAATCTTCCAGCCAGTTCCTTTCAACCGAGATGATTGTTTCAAAACGGCCCATTTCTCGGTATTACGCGAGAATGAGACTAGAAGGTGCCTTCCCTTCATTGCTTTACTCCCAAGGGGGCGTACATCAACTATTTCCACCGAGTCCTTAATTTGCAGTACATTTGACATGAACTGGCCCACTATCTCAGAGAGATCATCTTGAGCCTTGAAGTGGAGTCCTTTTATAATTAGATTGTTCCTGCGGGATTTATTCTCTATTGCATCTAGACGCCTCTGTAGTATCAACTGATTTTCTCTTAGAGATTTTACTTCCAATTTCAACGATTCGTTTTGAGTTTTCAAGCTTTTAATATCTTCTTTAAATGTATTGAAATCGTCTTTTGTTGGAAGTGTTTGGATTTTACTGTCAATTATCCTCTCAAACGCTTTCAATAATTCTTCAGTATTTATGTTGCTCATGTTACCCCAGTTGTTAGCTAGATTCGACTTTTTATTGGGATGAGAGACTAGAGATTCGGGGGAAGAACGGCTTCTCTTTGAATATACCTTCTCGTCGGATGTCCTCCAGCCAGAAGGTAAGGAGTGTGAGCTGCAAGATCCCTCGTTAGTATTCTTACTGTTCTTCTGCATGAAGTTTACTCGTTCGACAGATTATGGAGGTGACTCTCATTCAGCAGGCAGGAGGTAGCTGATAGAAAACATCGTAAGGAAAGTTAAAGTAGTGAAAATAGTTTATCACGCACCTTACTGCGCCGGCTCAGTTCCCCACCTCCAACACCGAGATAATCTCCGATAAGACGATAAGCGATAACCCAGACCTCCTGATCCAGCAAATTATAGAAAAAGATTGGTTTTTCTTTCTCTACCTGTAGCAAATTCACTGCACCGAGGTCCTTTTTCTCACAGATTATCAGCACAGAATCGACACGTTCACAAGGTTGTCCAAAAATTTGAATACAACTCCTACTTTTGATCGCTTAAATGTGGCTCAATAACAGAGACGATGTGTCTCTCACCGTGTCTCAATCCAAATTCCAAGTGAAAACATTGACTTTATTCAACATTGCACAATTGTTATTTTGTTTAGTGCTCATTTTTGTTTATTACAATTATGTTAATCACAATGAATTTATAATTAAATCAATTGGGAAATACATTTATTTAAAAAACTCTTTCAATGTGGATTTAATATTGTGGCCATGAGAGCTAAAATAAAAGTGATTTATCATTTCAAATAAAAAATATATACTGTATATATTGTATGACAGTAATTACAAATGTATGTACTAAGACCGTTAAGATGTCGATACAAACAAGATTTAAAAATTTCAAGGCTTATTCTTTCATAATAAGTTTTCCTTTTTTAATCTTATCACTTGAAAATTGTTTTATTGTTTAATGGCAGCTCTGACTGGCAATGGCATGTGACAACCTGACAGCAGTTCTTTATAAAACCAATGACCTGAGATTGGTAAGCTCAACGTTTTAATGATTTAAAATGTATTGTACAACATAAAAAATCTGTATATTATAATTATGCAATTTTATGTTTCGTAATAGGAAAATCGCCCGATTCCAGAACCAACAGACAATGGTAAGAAAGATAATTGCTTTTAATTTCCTACTGCAAACACTTGAGAATTTAATCGTTACTAACATTTTCAATGTTTATTAATAAAATGTTCCATTTTGTCCATATAAAAGCATCGATGTTAGGTCTAGCGTACAGTGTTTCTATTTCAATGTGACATCCACTTTTCTCAAATACAATGACAGACAAAATATTCCACCCACTTGTAATATAACTTGATTTGTATATATTTTTATATATTAATCAAAGTTTCAATTTTTAACGTTTAATAATTGAGTATTTGTCCAAAAAAGTAAGAAAAAAGTTCATTGCTAAGGAAAATGAAAAATTTTAAAAAAGACAGACAGATAAAATTTGTTTTAATTTTGTTTTAGATTTTTAATTAACATTTCAATATCACGTATTTGTCGCATGATTGTCGCTGATTTCATCAAAGATAGGCAATGCATAATGCTCCAAAATTTCATCCAAATAGCGATTGGCCTTCAAGGACCCTTCATAAACAACAACCAACTCTGTGCGACTCTCCTTTGAAATTCCCACCCATACTAACACTGAGCTACATTGAAAAGGTTGGCTCTGGAAAAAATTACAAACTTTGTACCTTTCATTTCACCTTCTCCAAGGTAAAGGGACCTTCTCCACCTTCTAAGGTTTATTGGTATTGTTTACTCACTTTTTTATTTCAACTGCTGTTAAATTATGTAAATTTGGACTTATCAGCCCAGAGAATATTTATTTGATGGTAAATCAAGAATTGGCTCAATTAAAATTTTCATAGATGAAAAATAATGTTCATAGTCAATTTGCTGCAAGCTTGAATCAGAGAAATCTTGCATAGTTTAACTCTGTAAATTTTTAGAACTCGGTGGACATTATCTTTGCAATGAGTTAGAATTTCCTTTCATGAAAATCAAAATAGCTAATTCCAAATCAAACATAAATCTTATTCTTTAATTTGTTTAGTCATGATTCTCAATGGAACCAGTTCCCTCAAACTTCTTGCAATACACAAAAGGTCTTAAAATTTAGTCTAATCCGCCATGGAAATTTTAGTGCATGCAGTGTAGCAGCTTCAACTTTCCCAAACTATATATACGCTTGATCATTTCCACTTTTTCTTATGTAGAAAATCACAGTATCACAATTTTTAAACAAATTATTGCAGATGTCTGCAATCAAACACCAAAAGTAGACTAGAAAGAGAAATAGAATAAATTGAACTTTGTGTACATTTATTACAATAACAATGAACAGTACACAATTTTTTCCGTTTTTGGGATTGATTCTCCTCCTAATATAAATATTTATTTTTGTTTGAACAACATTGAAAGTATGAAATGCATCCAGCGTTTGAATTGAAATATCCCTGGAAATATGTCACCAATGTTTAAAACAATATTTAGACCACTTATTTTAGATCCTTGGAAAAAAACTATGGGGTTAATTTTTTTTAATAACCCTTTTTTAAGAAAATTGATATTGCACTAAAATAGAGACACATGAATAGCAGTAGATGCATATATGAAAGGTGTATTAAAATATCTGAATCTGAAATCTTAAATAACTGAAATTTATATTATTATTAAGCCTTTATTATATGCCGTTTATATCACAATTAATAGAATACTAATGTAAGAACTAAGTAACAGATTTTTAATTCTTAATATAAATTCACTGATATACAGTATGAGAGACTAGTTTATACACAATTCTAAACCCAGAATAGTTTATGCATTTATATTCTAATGATAAGTCAATCTTCTTTCTTAGGGCTTATTTATATTGTTAATATGTTATGTTTTATAGTTTATTGATGAATTTCTTATGTTTTATTATAACAGAAGTCCTATTGGAAATGGGATCAGTTAGTATTTGCGGATCTGATGTCCACTACCTTCAACATGGGAGAATTTGTGATTTTATTGTCAAGGAACCCATGATAATGGGCCATGAGGCTAGTGGGACAGTTGTGAAACTTGGATCAAAAGTGAAAAACTTAAATATAGGTAATTTATTTTCCTACAGTGCCAAGTGATTTATCATGATTTTTAAAAATGTACAGGTGATCGTGTCGCTATTGAGCCGGGTGTGCCATGCAGCACATGTGAGTACTGCAAAGAAGGGAGGTACAATCTCTGCCCAGATATTGCGTTTTGCGCTACACCACCTTTCCATGGCAATCTTTCAAGATTCTACTGTCACAAAGCTGATTTTTGCTTCAAGTAAATGCCACTTCATGTCAATGTAATATAAACTTTATTTTAATGCTGAAATCATCAGATTACCTCACAATGTGAGCCTAGAAGAAGGAGCACTTCTTGAACCATTATCAGTTGGAGTGCATGCTTGTAAAAAGGCTGAGATCACAATCGGATCTAAATTGCTAGTGCTAGGAGTGGGCCCGATTGGACTTGTCACAACTCTCATAGCGAAGGCAATGGGAGCTGAAAAAATTATAGCAACTGGTATGTAGTTGGCAGAACTGCTTCAATGTGTAGAGATGGATGGACAATTGTTATTTCTTATGTATTTTATAGTTGTTAATATTTTTAATGTATTATAATTGTTTCCAGATTTACAGAAACATCGATTAGAGTTAGCAAAGATATGTGGGGCAGATCATACTGTACAAATTAATGGTACTGAAAGCGAAAATGATCTTGAAAAGGTTATCAGAGAAACTTTGGGTGGCCAGCCTGATAAAACAATTGACTGTAGTGGATTTGAGAGTTCAATCAGACTTGGTTTGAAGGTGGTAACTTTAGCACAATCATTAAATAATTTTTGTTTGCCACAAATTTCTTATTCCACTTTTATTTTATAAGACAGAAGATTTAGAATCTTCAGTCCTCCAATGCAACAAATTCCTATACTGTTTTGCAGCAAATAAAATTAAAAGAAAAATGCTTTTGTAGCTTGATCATTCTCAACATTCAGCCCCTTCCATTTAGAGATATAGGGATTTCTCCCTTTACTGCTCAAATGTTTATCTATTTTGTCCAATCTGTGCTAGTGGATTTCTTGGAAAATTTTCAAATATTTTATGAAGTAAAGAATCTTCTCAGGGGTATATTCTTACGATCTAATAGCTCAAGATTTTTTTCCTAACTTTCTCAAGCCTTGCTATTGTGAAACTGTTGAATAGGATATGTTCTGTTGTCTCATTCTCTTTGAGACATAATCAACTTTAATCATCTGTTGATAGTACTTTACTGAAGCATTCTTGTAAATTCACCAGTTGTTTTTAATTCCTTTTTGTTATGTAGGGTTTCTTATTTCTCAAATTGGGTTCTATAATGGAGTAGTCTTTTCCTTGCACATGCTTGGTTTTCTAGACATGGCTTCTTAAAAAATTATTTGATTTTGGCTGAATTTTCAGCCATCTGTGAAATTCATTAATTTGACCTGTTGTATTTTGTCATTTCACTATATTTTTTGGTTGGTCTGCATGTTAATGGCAGTAAGCCAATACCAAAATTATGAAACATTTCATACTGTACTAATGAAATATGAAGATGGCAAAAGCCAAAATGTACCAACAGTCTCAAACTTATAAAAACTTCTAAGTAAATAAATTAAATGTATTAATTATCCTAGCATTTGATGCAGGAATTAAATTTTTTTAGGCGACTAAGAGTGGTGGAACATTCGTACTGGTTGGAATGGGTGCACATGAGGTTAAATTGCCTCTCGTTAGTGCTGCAATTAAAGAAATCACTATAAAGGGTGCCTTTAGATATTGCAATGAGTGAGTAGAGAAATATTTTTTCTTACAATACACAAACAAACCAAAGAGACATTTTTATTTTCAGCTATGCAGTAGCATTGTCGCTTGTTGCTACTGGAAAAGTCAATCTGAAACCATTGATCACTCATGAATTTTCACTCAAGGACACTATAAAAGCATTTGAAACTGCTTCAAATGGCACTGGAAATCCCGTTAAAATTTTGATTCATTGCAACAAATGATTTTCATGTTTTGTATAATTTAGTCTCTTTTTATTACATAATCATTTATAAAATGAAAATACCTTCTTTGAACCTTCGCATAAATATTAACAATAATACTCTTGCTTCAGTAAATCAGGAGGACTGCAGTGGCTGAGTGATTAAGGTGCCTGACTCGTATTTACAATTCTAGCTTTTCTGGGTTCGAATCCCAACATAGCCCACGGCTTATAATTAATAATGGTATGAAAAATGTATTGTAAAGTGGTTTGGCCTTTCGCCCATGACTCCCAATGGGTAGTTGCATGTTAAATCCTCCTATATATGAGTGATTTCAAAAAAAGTTTGTTTTATAGCTGGCTTACTTTAAGAAATATGTGTTTCAGAAATTCAGGAAAATTTTGTATGATAGTCAAGAATAATTTAAAATACTGATTGGTTTTGATTTTGAAAATTTAGTATGGTAATGAGAGTTTATTTATTATTCATTTATTCAAATTTATGGAGTATCAAAAGGTGGTAATCCTTTAAAATTCAAAAGTGTAATTAATGTTTTCTTTTCTTTTAAATTCACGCTTTCTAGCCTTGTCTCATTATTTTGCTTTATTCAAGTTTTTCACGCACAAGTTTGGTTGGCAAGTAAAGCTTTAACTTTATTTCTTTGACTAATAGTTGATGTTTTCTTGATAAACAGGAAAAAATTTCTTTTATTCTTGTTAGCCAATGTTTAGAGTCTGTCACAACAATATTAGATAATTATAACATAATATTATATTTACAATTTTATTGTAATTTTCACTTTTTTTGCCTTCCTAAATCTTTAGAGATTGGTTGAGCACCAAACTTCCTTCTGGGATTATATTAGGAATAATCAGATTTGAAATTTAAAAAAAAGAGCATAAGTATCCCCAGTGGCCAAGAACACCAAAGTTAAAGCAAATATTATTTTGTCCAAAGAATCCAACCTTGTTAATTGGCTATTAACAAGGTTATCCAGAAGAGAAATCAGTTTGTTCTCTTCTAATAAATAATGGAAGTAAATTTAGGATTTGCTTTATATATTTCATAAGAAATATCTACAGAAGGGTTTTTAGTTGAAAAGCAATATTATATTTTAAAAAATTATTTTGTACTTTATTAAGTGTACATAGATATTATTGTAGGGTGATCAGACAGAACTAGCCTACTCTAAATGATTACGGAGGTAGTTAGGTAATTATGGAACAGAATATATTTTTGATTGATAATATGTTTATAAAAGGTTTAGGATGTTGGTAGCCGTAACGGTTTAGGCATTGAACATGGCGCTCATCCCCGTAAGGTCGGGTTCACACCCGAGTAGCAAGATATGTACTGCAAAAACAAGAGATACACGATTTTTATCCTAAGATAAGTGAGGTTTATAACAAAGCGATAAGACATGAGCCAGCCAGCCAATCACAAAGACAATGTCACTCTGAATATTCCGTCTTCATCCTTCGCAATATTGTATGACACTGAAGGAAGAGACAAGAAAGCAGTGTCTCTTGATACTTTTGATCAAACAGGTGTGAACCAATTTTATCATTCCTTCATGTATTTTTATAGGCCTGAGCGAAGTGTATCTTACAAGACAATTATCATATAATGCTTACAACCTAAAGATGTGTATCATATTGCCCTGGTGTAAACACGGCCTACGATAAAGGTCCCATACAGTGACCCTGCATTTTAACCCCCCCCCCCCCAAAAAAAAGTTTGGTATTGTGAATAGCAATAATAAACCTAACAATTTTATTAGTAATATTGTTACATGTTTATAAAATTCAAGGTTGTAAGTAAATGTTATGTCATGATCTTTAAATGAGGTTATAATTTGTAATTGCGAATAAAATAACAACAAAAATGCATTTTTTTTTATAAATAACAAAATATAAGTCTTTTTTTTCTTTTGCATGTATATTGGCCTACCTTGTTTTGTTGTGGTGAATAGGTATCATTTATTTTTTCTTTTACACCATCACTTAGTAATTAAGCGTTTGTGCATTGCCAGATAACATAAAAACTCTCTTAGCAAATGATGTTTCCACTTATATCAGTCATACAAAATTACTCTTATTATACAAAACATGGTTCATAAAATGCATGTATCAATATTGTAAGGGACATGCATAAAATAAACTCCCTCCCATAAAGGTTTACATGTGGGTGGAAAAAAAAACACCCTATCCTTTACACACCAAACTTTGTGAACAATACTGCAATCCCATCCTCACATTCCTTTCAGCAAAAGCATGACAAGATCACCTAGACCTCATTACCAACTGGTGCACACAAAGAATGGGCACCTTACATTGACACTTGGAACAAGTACCTGCCCACCAATACAGTAAGGTAAACCCCTCCCTCCATCCAACCAAATCAGCTACTTTGGGTTCTACTTGGACAGCAGACTTACATGGAACACATATAAAAATGAAAAAGACAAGAACTCAACCAAAGGTATGATGCTTACTAGGACCCAATCTGCAGTGAATATGTACAATAAATTAATAATACATAAGAAATATCACATGTTTTGGACTTAAGGATTTGAGCTGTGGGGTTCAGCCAAGCATACAACATTCAAAGAATCCAACCTTGCTAATAGGGCTGTTAATACAGAAGATAAATCAGTTTGTTCTTTCCTAATATATAATGGAAGTAAATTTAGGATTTGGTTTATAAATGATCATACGAGATATCTACAGAAGGGTTTTTAGTTTAAAAGCAATGCCATATTTTAAAAAAATATTTTGTACTCTATTAAGTTTAATATATAGATATTATTGTATGGTGATCAGACAGAACTAGCCTACTCTAAATGATTACGGAGGTAGGTAGGTAATTATGGAACAGAATATATTTTTGATTGATAATATGTTTATAAAAGATTTGGTAAATGACGTTGGTAGCTATAATGGTTTAGGCGTTGAACATGGCGCTCATCCCTGAAAAGCCGGGTTCACACCCAAATAACAAGATATTTACTATTAAAAAAAACAATAGATACACGATTTTTAACCTAAGATAAGTGAGGTTTATATCAAAGTGATAAGACATGAGCCAGCCAGCCGATCACAAAGACAATTTTCTGTCTTCATCCTTCACAATATTGTATGACACTGAAGGAAGAGACAAGGAAGCAGTGTCTCTTGATACTCTTGTTGTTATCATATAGGTGTGACCAATTTTATCATTCCTTCACGTACTTTTATATCTTACAAGACAATTATCATACAATACTTACAACCTAAATATGTGTATCATATTGCCCTGGTAAGAACACGGCCTAAGATAAAGGTTCTGGGTTTGAATCCAGCAAATCTGCATTTTAACCCCCCCCCCAAAAAAAAAGTTTGGTATTGTGAATAGGAATAATAAACCTAACAATTTTTGAGTAATATTGTTACATGTTTATAAAATTCAAGATTGTAAGTAAATTTTATGTCATGATTTTTAAATGAGGTAATAGTTTTGTAATTGTGATTTATTACCATAATAGGATGACTTTTTAAATTAAATGTATAATGTGACATAGTGAAGCGTTTATTAAAATTAAGTTTAAGTCATTATTTGAACGCACTCAACAAAATTATTAAACACAGTGTTAAATATCACTGAGTCTCAAGAATTATGACACGGTTTAGTTTGAGATCATCAGTAAAGAGAAAGAGGTTATTGTTATAAGGAGAGCAATATCAATAAAAGTGAGTAATAATAAGGGACTTAAATCAGAGCCCTGTGGTACTCTAGATTTTACATTTATAAATTTAAACAAAATATTGTTAATTTTTACTTGACGATGCCACCTACAGATAACTATCGAACCATGATCACATGGCCATGGAACCCTCAAACGGTCAATTGTGAAAACGCAAATCTAGATTTACATAATCAAATGCCATCTGTCTGTGTATATGACATCGAATTGTTTGTTAAGAATGAAAGCATTTAGTATAAACTTTTCAAACAGAAAATTATTATAGACCAAAGGTTCAAAAAGTTTATAGCAATAGTAGATTGATGGTAAATGGGGCGGGAATTAATCACTTCAGATGACAACTAAATTTTAATAGAAATGTAAAAGTGGGGTGATTATGTTGTTTAATATTTGTTAAAAAGATAGTTTTTACTCACAGTTTGTTGTTTTCAGCGATCCGAATTTCAAGATTAAAGCTCATCACCAGGTTGAAGTAGTTGAAGGCACCCATCTCGACGTTAACTAGAGTTAACCCCGCCGATCACCCGCCAACGCGACTGGTTTTAATGCCACTCAATTTTGTAAGCGCGAAAAACGTGAATTACTTTAACAAATACTCTAAGAAAATAATTTTAAATTAATGAATTATTTGTAGCTTTTTGTATTAATTAATACAATTTAAAATTAATACATTAATCATTTAATTTAATTTTTAATCTATTGATCAGTGGAACGTCGCGTTGGCGGGAAATCGGCGGGCTCTCATATTCGTGTCGTGCTTGTTAACTTCAACTTGATGACGAGCTTTAAGCTTGAAATACGGATAGTTGAAAACAACAAAACAGTGAGTAAAAACTTATTTAACTTTTAAAAAAAGATGAAATTTTAATGTTACCAAGTTTGTATTTGTACTGTAATATATAGTAGGTTTCAATGATTTTAACCTATTACACTATTAAACAACGGAATTTTTATTAGAAATAGAATTAACACTGGCAAGAAAATCAGCAAATAGATTTATTTCGGCACATCCAGAGTAATTTGCTTTATTTTGTGATCATTAATGATTGCAAGATCATTTGTGATTGTTAGGGTGTTAGGGTCTGGAACAGTCTGCCGTATTGGGTGCTCATCTCACTCCCAGGCTTTATTTAGCAGAGTTGTCACTGACTGCTTCAACCTTCCTTTTTAGATTTTTCTTTTCTTCAGTCCTTTCCTCGTCACCATTTTTCAAAATATTGATTATTACTAATATGTATAGGGATGGGGATAAAAGAGGCATGCACAAGGCCTTCTGCACTCAACCTGAGCAGATCTATTGCGCTCCTCCATTTTTATAACTTATTAGCTAGCTTCGTG